AAATGTAAAGAGTGAGCTGACACTGAGAGGTTTAATTTATACGTTCAGTCTCTCTCTGCTTCAGACATTTCAGCTCCCAGCTTCCTTCTACTTTCCATTTCTGATATAATATTTCCTCCTTCATTCATTTTATCAGTACAAAGGACATTAAGATGTAACCTACACACCAGCCTTTTAGCTTCCTGGGGCTACAGTGGACATTTACTGACCCTGTCTTTGAATAACTGCCTTCCAGGGGGGGAGAAGAAACATTACATTAGACTTGCACAGCCACTACTGCTAAGGTTAAACTTGGATCAAACACCAACACCTCAGCCTCCTAGTAGATGCTCCACACTGCCAGCCCCACTGTGTGATAACACCCACGTTTACAGCTAACAGGTAAAATACTAAAAGGTGGGCAACAGTTACGACCACCCGAGCTTCAGTTGTGCCTCTGAAACAAACTCCGCTGATTAACCGTCCATCAATTCATCCTGACTAAACGAAAGAAACACTAAAGTTATTCAGTTTATCAATTAGTCATCAAATTGCTTTCTCTCTATTACACCAAACTTCTAAAGTGCACACAGAGCATCACAACACTTTTCTCAAGCACTGACGCACATCTTATGTGCTCAAGTCTTCAGTCATCCTTCATTTCATCCCAGACCTTCTTAAAATGATCTAAGTGGTCTTGATCAACAGCTCTGCAAGCTTTCTGGAGGTCTTTAAAAGCTTTTCTTTGGTTATTGGCTGTTTTTCATACTCACTTACAGTTCAGTGCTTGTACCGGAGGACTGTTTGGGTTTTTGTAGCCACTTAACACCAACCTTTCTGAAAGTACAGCGTCTACAGCCATCTGTAAACCACAGAGTCCAATCCATGACGTTAGAGATTTTGTCAAAATTAATGGAATTTTTGAATCAGGAAACACCATCTGGAAAGCATTTGATGCACAACAGCTTACGTTTTCCAAAACACACTGCAGAAGATATGTCGTATGTCCTCACATGGTGGAGCAGACAGGCCTGCTCAATCATGGCAGGGATACACACGGCTGATCTCACAAACCTGTTTATCTACAACTCCGACTACAACTCTGCTGGAATCTCAGCGACATAACTATCATCAGTCAGTGAGCGCAATGGTACGTGCACGTTTTCATAAGCAGTGAGAAAAGAAGAAGGCTGGGACTTGAATCTGTTTCAGGTTTGTCATGAACTGGAGTAACCTCTGCAGGGTGAGCTGCAGCTACAAACAAGCAGCAACGAGACGCAGAATAGCTGCTGCACTGCACACAAAATATTTCTCCTTGTCAGCTTAAGTACATCTTGCTTCATGAAACAAGAAACAGTACTGATCTTCATTTCCAACCATGCCTTTATGAACCTCTGCAAAAGCAACGTAAAAGCAGAGATCTAACAAGAAGAGCAGATAAGGATAAAGTGGGTGAAAGATGGAGCAGTCTGAGACAGGGTGTGTTAAAGCTGTATGTGAATGTGTGACTAACTCAGCAGACTGGAATGTCACTCTCACTGGTATTAGTTACATCACCCGACTGCTTAGCCGAAACACCTCTAGGGCATATCGTCTATATGCATCCAGCCGTGCTTTAAATGTGTAATCAGTCCCAAGACCTGTTTAACATTCTGCAAAAGACTTAAAGAAGTTGGTATCTACCAGAGGGGCTAGTCCCTAAGACAAGGACAAGAATGTCTGAATCGAGATGAAAGATCAAATCATTCAAATCATCAAACGCATTTTTAAAACTGACAGATCAGAAAATATTTCAAAGGATGGAGGACTGTAATCACAGATGAAAGTGAGCTTTGGTAGGGAGGGTGACCCCAAAATCCTCTGATGGCACAGGGGAGAAATAACTCACTTCAAAAGAACAATTAATCGACCAATAGATTTAATAGTTAAGCAGGTCGACTTGCTTAAGTTCAAACTGAGGTTCAGGCTACGTCCACACGTACACGGCTATTTTTGAAAACTGAGATTTTCCATTTTTATTTTTTTTTTTAAATCCCGTCCACACGTTTCGCAAAAACGAAGGAAAACGCTGCCAGGAACATGCCAAAGCAACAGGCGGCGATATATTCCTAACCGTGTAGAAATGTTGGCCAATCAGAAGTCTAGAAGCCTGGGTGGGAAAGAGTAAACAAAGATGGCGCACAGCAGAACTGAGCCCTTTGTGTGGAGGGACTGAAACTGTGTTGTATATGTAAGCATGTCAACACTGCAGAGAGTCAAGTTAAAGGTCGGACATTGTAGAAATCCATTTCACCGAAACAATAACGTGCCACAGTGTGACATCAAAAAAGCTGCACGCCTTTGACGCTGCGCTTTCTCCGTTTTCCTCGTCCACGCGTAAATGCAAAAACTGAGTTTTCAATTTTCAGTGACCGAAAACGGCGTTTACGTGTGGACGAAAGGTCAGAGCGCTTCATACAACATGTCCCATTCCTACATACATTCACATATAAGCACTTTTTCCTCTTCACATCTATCAGCACAACTCCAATGAATGCATCGGCTGTGTTTATTATGTTATCCAAGGATATTTTGTTAGAATGGGACATTTGTATAATGGATGTGTAGCTGAACAATTTGTAGCAATTGTGTGATGATGTCATGTCAATATGGACCAAAGTCTCTGAGGACTGCTTCCATCACCTCGCTGAATCTGCGTCTCTGCAGTCATTAAGCAGTTGTGAAGTCAGACAGAGGCACACTGAATGATCGATTTATACCTAATAAAGTGGTCAGTAAATAGGAGAATGTATACGGGAGAACATGAGCGCTGGCTGCTTTCACACTGCTAACCAGCACACAACAGCTCTGCATTAGTCCAACATAGTCTATTACTGTATAGGGATGGGTATCGTTTAGGTTTTATCCAATACCAGTACCAAACCGGTACTTTT